TGAATTAGTAATATATTTTTTAAAAAAAAATATATATATATATATATATATATATATATATATATATATATATATATTGTGAAAGATATATAGTATGGCATATATTGAAAGAAAATAATATATAGAGAAAATTTAGAAGATTTTTTTCAAATTACATAATACTATTTACAAACTTAATAAATTTAAATAACATAAAACAATTTAAATATCAACAAGTTATTGATCTAAATGATAACAAAGTTTTGGATTCAGATACTATAAATAAGAAAAACAAACGTAATAAAAATGGGTAGATTTCTCAAAAGTGATCGGTCAAGTTTCTCAATAGAGAGAATTTATTGACAAAATCGATGAATATATATATATATATAACATGATTATAAAAATAACACAAGTGTTTGTATCTTACCCAAATCTGCTTCCAGCATGACCAGTTAGCTTAGAAAGTGTAAATATCATTAAATCTTCATCTGCAGGTGCTAGGATAGGTGTGAAATGTGGGCAGTAGTAAGCAAGATCATGAATTGTCTTCACATATTGGCCTTGAAGAACAGCCTTCTTCAGATGCCCGTCTGGATTGTTTGGGGAAGTAACCAACTCAATAAAGCTCGACTTTGAACTATCATTCTTCCACATTGACGTGTCCCCATTGAATTTATAATCCTCAGATTTGAAAAATTCAGTTTGCTCTTTATAGACCTAGCATGTCATGAAGGTTCAAAATTGAGTTTAGATAATGAAGAAATATTTTCTAATGCATTTTTTTTACATTACATTTTTATTGCTCGTTGGAATTTTTTAAGATTTACAAAATAATATAATTAAGTCTCACTTCTTAATTAACAAATCAAATTTATAATTTTGTAAGTTGCAAAAACTTGATTTAGATTTTAAAATCCATGTACTGATATAGTATTAAAAAGTTAATTGTAATAAACAATTAAAAAAATCAACATTCACATTTATTCTTAAGAAAGATATTATAAAATGACATAAATTTTTTTATATGGTTCTTATAAATTTTTCTTATTTGTTTGGACCTTTGAGAGGGGATCATGAATAGAAGGAACAAACTCCCATCTTATTATAGCTTTTTTCTCAATTTTCGGGAGAGTGTGAAAGATTTTATAATATTTTTAATATAATATTTAAAATATTCTTATTTATATTTTTAAAATTAAAATTATAAAAATGCAAAGGTAACTATTAACTTTTAAAATCTCTTCACTATTACTATTAATCAAATAGAAAAAGTTATTTTTCTTTATGGTCTCACCCCTATTAAAATCTCTCTCCTAATACTTCTCCTTTCAACCCAAACAAAATTATAATCTCTGTCCTCCCCTTCCTTCTTCTCCCATCTATTAGAATCCCTTTCCTTCTTTTTCTTTTTTTCTTTTGAATTAAACAAACCGTTACATTCATAGTAGATATGCTACTTACTATTTATCTTAATAGTGAAGAATAAGTTTTAAAGTGAGTTGTAATATTCTTCTTTCATGTGTGATAGTCATATTGAGAATTGTATATGTAAGGAACTAATAAGGTCTAGGTTTTCAACTTTACTGGGTAATATGGGATTGAAGCTACCACTTTTGTGGGTGAAGAAGATGAAGCATTTGAAGAAAGGGCATGTACTGCAGCATTAAGAAGATGGGTGGCACCTGCTCCAATTATTATGTATTTCCCATCTGTTATTGCATTGCCAACACTAGCATGCACACTTCGAATGTGTGCCTTCAACTCTTCTGAGATGAGAGAGCCATCACTGAATTCATAGCTCATGCGATGCCACCCTGCAACCACTACTGCACTTCTTGCTGCATTCTTCATCCAAAAGGGTTCCAAAAAAGTGGGATCTCCGCTGCAGATAATAGTAATACATATAGCAATTATTAGAGGTTAATTCAACATTGCTTTGACATAAGTTAGAAACAGTTTTTGACATTTTGTCTACTAAAAAAAAGATGTTTCTAAGTTTATAATCGGATTGATTAAATAAACATTACAAAAAAATTGTCATACAGTGATACACATTATATAGTAACACTACACATATCACTAAAAAATACTTTTAGCCACATAATAAATATAATATATGTTAGTATATTATTAAAAAGTATAGATATAAGTTATAATGACACATAAAATATATTTTTAAATTTCATTCAAAATTAACACTAAAATTATGTGTAACTATATATCTATATACATTGTACTTATACTGACACTTTTGTATATTATTATAATTTATATGTAACATTTCTTATAGTGAAATTAACTTAAGATTTCAATTCTAAGAACTTTTTTTTCCAATTCTAAGTTTTAAATGTAAGAAAACTTCAATCATCTGTTAAAATTATGTAAAATTTCTTATAGTTATAATTTTATGCTCTAATATTTTAGATAAGTCTACGCCGGTAGTAGCATCAATATGTTATTAATATATTACTTAGTGATATTGAGAGTTTCTCTTTCTTCCTTCTATCACTTTCACTTACAATTTATAATATAAAGAAAACATTTTGACTATGCCATAATAGCAACAAAAATGACAGTTTTTTTTTTTAATTAGCAAAAGTGCTATTAATTTTTTTCTCTCTCTCTCTTTGGCTCTTAAAAGAAAAAAAGCATTATATTAAAAAGATAGATGCTCATGCGGCCCCACTTAGCATAATTTATACAAAAAAGAGTGCAATTTGCAACAAATAATACAGGATTATAGTCTTGGGCTCGATATGTGTCTCCTCAATTCGGAGAACAAAGCAACCCTAAAGAAGATTGCAACAATGACAGGTGTTGGCCAAAAGAAGATTTCAATAGCACTATTGCTAGCAACAAGTTCAAATGACTTAACATCAAATCATCAATGATGACATTGGAGTTTGGAAACATTACTCAAATAGCGTTGATAACAAAGAGAATAATGAATTTTGGGTTCTCAAAATTCAAAACCAAATACTCTCTAATTCCCGTAATAATTTTCATATCAAGAAAAATTATAAATTATGAAGAAAATAGTATCTTTACAAAATTAATTTTATGATTAACTCTCTTCAATTTATTAAAAACAATACAACCCAACAACCACTTTTTAAATAATATTATTAGGGGGTATGGATAGAAAATGAATAATTAAAATTAAAAAACTAGCACACTAATTTTGAGACTTTTTTTTCACACGACACTTAAATAAATAAATAAAATGCGAGTAAGTAAAAACAAATTAGTTTAGTTCTTGAGGACCACTAGTAATATTATTGAAAGAAAAAAAATAAAGTCAATTATATAATATCAAGTGAGTTTAATATTATATTTTTTATTAACAAAGATATTAGTAGGTAAATTTTGTGTAATTAATTTAGTAATAGATGAATTTTATTTCACAAATTTGGTGATATTATTTAAGGAGAGAGATTGAAAGAAGTTTATTCAAATTACAAAAGACTAAAACATCAATTTTAAATTAAAAAAAATACAAAAACAAATTTATCACATATTTAAAGAGAGCAATGTTTTTAGATATCCAAATAAGTGGAACACCCCATTAATACCTTAATAATTTGTGTTTACCTCTATCTTCTTATCACACAAGTCATTAATTATATCAATCATTTATTTCTTTTTCTTTTTAATCTCTCTCAAGGTGTAAACATTTATTGACTGTAAAAAAAAAAATACATTCATCATCAAAAGTTAAATATAATTATGTATTACATACATAGAGATTGATTGGCAAAACATGCTTTTACTAGTCAGGTAATATTAATAAGGTAGGGTGTGTGAAACAAACAAGACTAATTAATACCTATCTGCATCAACCATGCAATGAGGTAGGAGCTGTGAGCAATCACTTCCTCCATAGCACATGTTGCATTCACAAACAGGCTTGCCATGAAGAACTAAACCATCTAAAAAAGCCCTACCATGCCCCGAGCACGACATGGATGATACAGCTTCAGCTTCAGCCATAGCTTCTTGCGTCCAATTTTGCTGCCATCTCTTGTGCATGCACATGCCAACTAACAAGAGGTTAAGTGCAATTGAACATGTTAAAGATACAATATACTTTAGACTATGAACCCTAGCCATGCTTTCAGCTGTGATATCTCATTTAATTGGATTTCACTTTCATATATATACAAGCTGTAACGGGAAGCAGCAAAGAAACTACAGTACTACAGTTTTTTTTTAATTATTATTATTAATTATCGCCAATTCACTCGTGAAAAATATGAGTGTTTTGGATTGACCATATTAAAATAATGTTTTGGTCTCCTAAATTAATGTTTTTAAATTTTACGTTTGGTGCAACATGTGTGTAAAAAATTAAAGACACGCATTCGAAGATCAAGATTTTCCACACTAGTTTAATTAATGGTAACTAGGTCAAAGAAATCAATATTTAAGCTGGATTTATTTGTGAAACGTTGTATTTAGTGGAAGAAGACACTGAAACGCGGTTCAAGAAATATAGAAAATGTTGTGAGTCTTTGTATTACTGCATGATATGCATGTTACACATTGTACTACAAATTTTTAAAATATAACAATTTTTTCTTTCTATTTTTTTTCATCACATATGGTTCATCCTTCTATACTTCTTTTTCTTTTGTTTCCATTATTTCTCTCCTTTGTTGTAATATATCTTCTGATTTTTAATTTGTTGTAAAAATATAGTGCTATCCATATTATAATACCCATCTGTATATTTTACAATAGAGAAAGGTTAACACTATGAAAGTAAGCTGAAGTGGGAAAATAATATTATGTTTGATCTGAAAGGTTAACACTATGAAAGGTTAACACTATTAAAGTAAGTTGAAGTGGATGAAGCGCGTCCTTATAGGCCGCATGAAAGTAAGCTGGAGTCAAGGACTATTAACTATTATTTTGTTGGTTATCCTGAATGCTCTCGGCGCTATAAATTTTACAATCCCACTACTAGATCATTCTTTGAGACGAGGAATGCAAGATTCCTTGAGGATGTTGAGTTTGGGAAGGAAGAGAACATAAGAAATGCTGTCTTTGATGAAGAACCTGTCATTGACAGTGATCAAGTCCTCGTGCCTATTACTATTCCAGTACCTACCCCAGTAATAGGTGACAATCATGGAATTATTCCTGACATTGTCCCTTTTTCAGTAATCTATTATCTGAATGGTAATCTATTACATGACTTAATATTAAATTCTTTTGAATGAATCAAGTTTCATTTTATGTTAAAACACTTTGTAATCTATTACCAACTCTTGATAATCTATTACATTATGTTTTCACATAAAATGAGAAACATTGAGTTATGTTTTCTAAAACAAGATAAGTTTTTGAAATCATAACAATTATAACAAGCAAACACATACAAGCCTAAGTTTTATGAAACAATCAATACAATATCCTTTTAACATAGGTCAAAAATATAAATGAAAATTTAAACAAAGCTACATCAAAACTAAAACTACTTCTTCGAGAGGGTTTCAAACTCAACACTTTCCTCTATGTCAAATTGTCTTTATATTTGCATATTTTCTATGTTAATTGGCATAATAAGAACCTCCCCACCTTTTTCGAAAACGTCTACCATTTTTTGCCATTAAATATATTATGCTAGCTAACCTTTTTTCCTCTTGGTTTTTTTTCTCTCCATCTATTTAGTTTATTAAAGCTTTACACCTAGTTTTCCAATACAGCTAGCCTTTTTTTATTTTTATTTATTTTTTCATTGAATACATAAATCTTGCATGTTAACCTTCTTGCTGCTTTGTCTTTTTTGTCTCTATCTTTTTATTCTTATCTTATTAATGGTTTCTTTAAACGTTACTTTGAATCGAACAATAAGAGTTTATTGGTTTCATTAGTTACAATTAAATCACAAACAATTCACGTTATTATTAATACTTTTAAATGCTTTTAAAAAGAGTACTTAATAACATTTATATGGTAATTTATTTTTCTTTTAAATAAAACTATTTAATGAAAATGGCTCAAGGAGCTTGATCTTTTAAAAATATTTAAATACCCAACCATACTCAATCAAACACTTGAATAACCATTAGGGTTAACCTAGTGATTGGGAGGGGAGGGGTAGCTAAAAACATGAGGACCTAGGTTCAATTTTCATTGCGACCGTCTTTGTAATGTTTCCTATCTTTAAAAAAAACACTTGAATAACTTATCTCTATCTCTTTCACTCTTCCCCTCTCTCTTTTAAACCTTAAAAACATAGAAGAGAAAATAGTAAAAGGAAAGAAAAATTTTTAAAGAGAAAAGAAACTTTTGGATTTTAGTTTTTCCATGGATCAGAAGTTCATTGGAAACTCGTTGTCGGTGATGGACACAAAGCGAATGTTAAAGTGTGGGTCCCACCACCATCATTCTCACTCTGACAATTGCTTTCGCTTCATCACAAACATTCCCCCCTTCAACACTTCTAATCTTGTCAACTCTAACTTCCCTTTGTCACTCACATTTCTATCTTTGGACACTAATGACATCATTCCTATGGTTGTTGATTTGAACAAGTCTAAAAAGCAGAAGAGGTTCACAGGAATTCCCCATGCCAGACACCTTCGAAGCTTGTCCGTGGACTCTAACTTTTTCTACAATTTTGGGTTCACTAATGGTGAAAATGAGAGAATCATTGGGAAAAGTGGAAGTGAGCAAAGGGTGGAGCATCAACGACATAACTCAGTGGACAGACCCTCGACTAAGTTATTTAAGGTAGACTCAGGGATGGAGATGATGGATTATAAGAGGAAAGATCTGACCCTTGATAAACTCCCTAAACTAGCTCTTGTTGATCCAAAACAAGCTCGATCTAACAGGTTTTTTTTTCTTCTTTTCTTTCTCTTGTCTTAAACGATTAAAAATAATAAATTTTTGAGTAGTTTAAATTATTTTTTAGTTTATGTGCTTAATCTTGTCATAATCTTGATGTAATATTATTTATATCTTTTCAATTTTGTAATACATGGATGATTTTAAATATGTTGTTTTTGTTGAAAATAATGTGAGTTACAAATTATATGAAGTTATCTAGAATCTATAATCTCTACTAATATATAAAGGGGATACTCTTTTTAGTAATCACCTTGATTTCCACATTTTATTGATTGTTATACCCTTCTATTTTAAAAATTAGAAAAAATAATATTTTTAATCAAATTCAAGAATTTGAAACTAATGGACTAATTATAACACTAGTTAGACTAATATACTTTTATTACTTAATTTTTATTTTTATTTTATTTTTAACAGAGGCATGAAGTGCTTCGACCTCACTAGTTATAATAAAGGGATTGAACTTTTTGGTGTACATAATTTTTATCCAATTTTAGACTTATAAATACTCTTTTACAAATAAAAGTGTTTTTTTTTTTTTGTAAATTTCACTCCATAATCACATATATTTTTAATAATCATCCATTAATATATATTTTTTTATTATTTATTATTTTAAAAAAGTAATTTACAAAGGCATGGAGTGCCTTTTGTATTTTAGTATTTGTTATTACAATTAGATAGTTAAACACTATAGTGATTATCTGTCTACCTATATGTTTTTTATTTTTTGGAGAAGGCATTAATTGATTGTGCCTTTTCAAAATATAAAAAAATATTTAAAATACCAAATCCTATTTTTTTTAAGAATGTAAAATTATTTTATTTATTTAATGAGAAATAAGTAACTTACATTTACGAAAGTAGTAAGATGATTGGTACAATTTGAGTTGAAGAATAAAACATCTTAAAAAATGTAAACCAAATGGGTAATGATATCATTTTTGTTATAATTATAGATTATTATTACTATTATTATTGTTGTTATTGGTGTTGTTGTAAGAACCCATTTACCTCATTATTTTAACCCTTTAAAAGATAGTGATAAGACCAAATATCTTATGGGTATTGCTGACTAATGTCCTTATGACATTAGTTAAGGAATCAATATGTTGAAAATATTCATTGAAAACAATAATAAAGTTATATAAATAACTTTCTTTTTTCGGTTCCTTAATTAGTGCCCTTAACATTTTTTATATGTTATAGACCTCATCCACCTTTTTTTTCCCCAAAATTGCTACCTTATTTCATTGACTATAAATATATAAACTATTCATATTAACCTTTCTTCCTTCCATTTAATTTTTGGATTTTGAATGTTATGTGTTTACAAGATTTTTACTAATAGGAAATCAACCATTCGATCAAAGTCGAGGAATATTCGTTATGCAACTATGTTGAAGAGGAAGATTCTTTACACAACTATGTTGAAGAGGAAGATTCGTCATGCAACTAAGTTAAAGAGGAAGATGCAATCTCTTAGGAACTTAAGAAACTATCCTCTCTTCCCAAATTACCATGCTTGACGTATGTCATTTCCTTTTTGTTTTATGATCATGACTTTTAACTTTTGGTAACTTGCACTTTCTTGTCAATGTTTAATGGAGCTCCCTAGCATTACATCAATTTATAGTTGTATGGATTTACCTTTTTTTTTTCTTTGGAACCATGGTAAATAAAACAAAATGAAACAGAGGAAGTTTGGGTAAATTTTCAAAATTCTCAAGGATGTTTACATAAATTTAAAATAAACAAAGGTTATTCATGGAAATTTATAGTTGCATTTTACTTTGATCTCACAAATAAGAACAAAATTACCAAAGTGTAGTCCTCAATACTAATTGGTCTTTGCTTGATATGCGTGTGTACCTCATTGGCTCTAGATGCACATGAAAAGTCATAATCGATTACATAGTGTCAGGGATTTGTAAAGTGAACTACTAAAGATATTTAAGGTTTAAAAATAGTCATGGGATATTAAATATAATTTGAAGCCTTTTAATTTTTGTTTATAAGTTATCTAATATGGTGCAGAGAGAATATGCAAATTTGTTTGTCAAACACCAATTGTATTTAGAAGCTTTGGACAAACAAGATCAACTTAATGAAGGTATGTCTAGTTTCATATTTGTTTATGCCTTTAAAAATGAATGTGTTATTCCCCCTTTATCAATCATTTACTATTGGATTCAATTAATAAACAAGCTTCAATGGTTACACTTATGAACATTACATCATCAATCTTCAAGCATGACAATTTAACCTTTTTTTTTAATCATCCATGATAAAATTGGAGAATCCTAATGCATACTTTTCAAAACAAAATATTTCTTGAAATTTGTAAACCTGGTAGACTATTCATTTCAAATTTAACTCACGAATATTTACATGGCTACACTATGTGATTGTAGAACTCATGAATTTATTCATGGAAGAACATCAACGCCTTAGGGCATGGAGTACTCCTTTAGCGCTATTTTGGGTAACCATTATTTGGGCTTCCTATTTAGCCTTGCAATGGTTGACTAATTCTACACTCCAATAGGCACAACACCAGCTACAAGTTGGAATGCTTCCTCTTCTAGGAAGAATCATTGTGACTTCATGGACTTCGATAGCAAAAGTAGCCAATAATAGCAACGATATATGATTCCTTACATGCGATACTCATCATAAAGAAACTATTGTTCATATATATATTCATAATAGGTGACACTTATGAAGGCTATATTATGCAATTTAGTGTTTTTTATTTTTTATTTTTTGTTTTTGTTTTTGTTTTTTGTTTTTTTTTATCTTTTCTTGCTTTAGGATTGAATCATACCCTATTATTTTTACTTTACGTAGTTCTATGTTGTACTTTTTTGAAATATATTTTGTAGCTCTTGGATGAATGATGTTACATATAGAAAGACTAGTTTATGATTGATGGTGAATGAAGATCATTAGTTAGCATTTTTGGAATTAAATATTAGGTGATATAAGTTAAATGTTGGAGCATGAAACATCTTCTCAATATGCCTTTGTTTCCACGATTGGGTTAAAGTTTTTTGTTTTCATGAGTCTACTGAGATGAAAATTAATGTCAACATTGAATTTTATTATTTTTATTCAAAAATAGTTTTTTGGAATTAAAATAAATAATATTCACAAATTATTTTAATTATTTGCCGAATTACTCCAAAATATCCATTAGTTTATGAATTAAGTGATCCAATTTCAAAATATAAGTCAACTAAACTGAAATGTCTTGTTAATGAGGCCTATGGGTTATGGTAAAATCTTATAGCACTACAATATGAAGTTGTATTTTAACTGAGGCCCAAGGTGATTTGGCATCCGACTTTGTGAGAATGATATATATATCTATTATTGTTTGTTATTTGTATGTTTGTCATACTTGTCATGAATCATGTCTAACAATGAGAAATGATTTTATCAAATTAATAAAGACACTGTCAATGTTCTCTTTGAGGTGTTTAAAATTTTCTTTGAAAGATGTTTGGGTTGGACTTTGACCAAGGCTTAAGGAGAGCTAGTTGAGGTTATCTCTTCTAGTTGATTGAGTTGCAATGAAGATGAGCAAGATATCTACAGAAGACATTCCAATGCTTATGTTAGCTAGTGATTTTAGTACAATAACTATAGGTCTTGAATATGTATTTAATGTTGTTAAAATTAGTATTATAAGGTGCATGAAATGGGTTAAACCACTTAACCAAGGTTCTATTATCAAGGTGGGTGTTAAACCATCAAAATGTTACATAATAATCGAATATTCATTGTAATTTTGCCTTAATTTAATGCCAATTTTTTTGGCAATACTTCACTTCTTTTATTAAGTGTGCAACAAACAAGAAAAATACAAAAAAGAGATGAAGTAAGTTCAATTAAAGGATAAAATGTAACAAATATGAAGGTTAAAGTCATGCATGACCATGATTGTCTAATGCACGACGTCCATGCTTCAAGTAAAAGCATAACATGTCATGAAGCACAATCATGCTTGCCAACTTATTTTAGAGCACCCTTGGACGACAAAGCACGCTTATACTTCTTGTTTTGATGAAGCACGCCCATGTTGTTGAGCACGGTCGTGCTTGTTGAGATGTATAGTCATACTTAAAAGTTTGTCTTAATTTTGAATATAAATAAGGATGTTTAGAGCACATTGTAAGATTGATTTTTGTGTTGTAGTTTTATATTTTCACTCTTTCTCCTATTCTACGATTGTGATGTATAATTATTCCTCGTTAAAATGTGTAGAATGATATTGTTCAAAGATTAGGTCATAAACTTCTTGAAATTTTTCAAGAACTCATGTTCTTTAATCAATCTTTAGCACTTGTATTCTTTTTGAAAAGTATGTGATATTTTCTTGTTCTAAAAATGTTTTCCAAAATATATTTGATCCTTTTTTTAAGTTTTCGAAAAGAGTTATATTTATAGTGCAAAGAGGATTTTAGTATTTAAAAAGTTTGTAACAACTATAATCTATTACCTGTGAAGGTAATCTATTACCAGACTTTTAAAAACTAAAATTAGATTGATTATAAAACAGAGGTAATCTGTTACCAAGAATGGTAATCAATTATCACGAGCTTTAGCAAACATAAAACTCAATTTTATGCAGAGGTAATCGATTACTAAGGAGGGTAATCGATTAACTCGATGCCAAAATCACCTGTTTTCACTCAAAAGTCACCATGATAATCTATTACCTCAATTAGTAATCGATTATCACAAAGAGGACTTCGAATTCTGCTTCAAAACTAAGTTTCAGTAATCTATTATCTGAAATGATAATCTATTACATGACTTAATATTAAATTCTTTTGAATGAATCAAGTTTCATTTAATGTTAAAACACTTTGTAATCTATTACCAACTCTTGATAATCTATTACATTATGTTTTCACATAAAATGAGAAACATTGAGTTATGTTTGCTAAAACAAGATAAGTTTTTGAAATCATAACAATCATAACAAGCAAACACATACAAGCCTAAGTTTTATAAAACAATCAATACAATATCCTTTTAATATAGGTCAAAAATATAAAATGAAGCAAATTTAAACAAAGCTACATCAAAATTAAAACTACTTCTTGGAGAGGGTTTCAAACTCAACACTTTCCTCTATGTCAAATTGTCTCTATTTCTGCATATTTCCTGTGTTAATTGGCATAATAAGAACCTCCCCACCTTTTTCGAAAACGTCTACCATTTTTTTCCATTAAATATATTATGCCAGCTAACCTTTTTTCCTCTTGGTTTTTTTTCTCTCCATCTATTTAGTTTATTAAAGCTTTACCCCTAGTTTTCCAATACAACTAGCCTTTTTTTATTTTTTTTTAATATTTTTTTTATCATTGAATACATAAATCTTGCATGTTAACCTTCTTGCTGCTCTGTCTTTTTTGTCTCTATCTTTTTATTCTTATCTTATTAATGGTTTCTTTAAACGTTACTTTGAATCGAACAACAAGAGTTTATTGGTTTCATTAGTTACAATTAAATCACAAACAATTAACGTTATTATTAATACTTTTAAATGCTTTTAAAAAGAGTACTTAATAACATTTATATGGTAATTTATTTTTCTTTTAAATAAAACTATTTAATGAAAATGCTAAAGGAATTTGATCTTTTCACTACTAGAATTTCTCTTATTACATGCGACTTTTTCTGCGAATTTTTCTTGAAAATTCGCAGGAAACGTTATTCTTACAAATTTTTCTGCGAAATTTTATCTACAGGTAATACCTTCGTGAATAATATATTTTTGCGAATTTTAAAATTCACAGGAAATTTTTCAGCACAATTTCTTGCGAAAAAAATTCGTAAGAAAGTTTCTTGCAAAAAACAATTTGCAGGAAAATTTCTTGCAAAAAAAAATTTGCAGAAAAATTCGCAAGAAAGTTTCCTGCGAATTTTTTCGCAAGAAATTCTGCAGGAATATTTCTTACGAAAAAAATTAAAGAAATTTCTATAAATTCTATCAATAAATCTTCAACTTTTAAATACTCACAATGAATTCATCCGAAGCATTTGTTTTTATGCCTCCAACATGTGATACATAATCTTTTAAATTCTAAGATTGTAGATTATAAGCCTAACACTCAAGCATACAAATCAACTTGTAAGGTAAGTGTTGCCCCAACTTTTATACTCTTTAATTATTTTATTTTCAATCAATGTGAGACTTGAAGTTTTTTTTTAATATTAAACTTATAAATTTAAATATTTTTTATATTTCCTGCGGATTAAAATTTGCAGGAAAATCCATAGGAAAAGTTACCTACAAAATTTTTCTACCATTTAGTAAACATTACTTGCGAATTTATTTTTACAAGAAAATTTGCAAGAAACAAAATAAAATTCTTACAATATTTTCTACAAATTTTTACCATGAAAAAAAATTCTATGATTATTAAAATTGTAGCAAAATTTGTAAGAAATATCTATAAATTATTTTTCACAAATAAATTCGCAAAAAATTTCTGCGAATATTTTTTTGTAGAAAAATTCGCAAGAAAATGACACTTTTCTAGTAGTGTTTGAAAATATTTAAAGACCCAACCACACCTCAATCAAACACTTGAGTAACTTCTCTTTATCTCTCTCTCTCTTCCCCTCTCTCTCTTAAACCTTAAAAGCTCAGAAGAGAAAATAGTAAAAAGAAAGAAAAATTTTAAAGAAAAGAGAAACTTTTGATTATAGTTTTTCCATGGATTAGAAGTTCATTGGAAACTCGTTGCCAACAATGGACACAAAGAAAATGTTAAAGTGCGGGTCCCACCACCATCGTTCTCACTCCGACAATTGTTTTCGCTTCATCACAAACATTCCCCCCTTCAACACTTCTAATCTTGTCAACTCCAACTTCCCTTTGTCACTCTCATTTCCATCTTTGGACACTAATGACATCATTCCTATGGTTATTGATTTGAACAAGTCTAATAAGCGGAAGAGGTTCACAGGAATTCCCCATGCCAAGCACCTTCGAAGCTTGTCGGTGGACTCTAACTTTTTCTACAATTTTGGGTTCACTAATGGTGAAAATGAGAGAATCATTGGGAAAAGTGGCAGTGAGCAAAGGATGGAGCACCAACGACATAACTCAACGGGTGAACCCTCGACTAAGTTGTTTAAGGTAGACTCAGGAATGGAGATGATGGATTGTAAGAGGAAAGATCTGATCCTTGACAAACTCCCTGAATTAGCTCTTGTTGATCCAAAGAAAGCTAGATCTAACAGGTTTTTTATTTTATTTATTTTCTTTTTTCTTTTTTTTTTCTTTTCTCTTGTCTTAAACGATTAAAAATAATAAATTTGTGAGTAGTTTAAATTATTTTTTAGTTTATGTGCTTAATCTTGTTATAATCTTGATTTAATATTATTTATATCTTTTCAATTTTGTAATACATGGATGATTTTAAATATGTTGTTTTTGTTGAAAATAATGTGAGTTATAAATTATATGAAGTTATCTAGAATCTATAATCTCTACAAATATATAAAAGAGATACTTTTTTTTAGTAACCATCTTGATTTCCACATTTTATTGACTGTTATACTCTTCTATTTTAAAAATTAGAAAAAATAATATTTTTAATCAAATTCAAAAATTTGAAACTAATAGACTAATTATAACACTAGTTAGACTAATATATTTTTATTACTTAATTTTTATTTTTATTTTATTTTTAACAGAGGCATGAAGTACTCCGATCTCACTAGTTATAATAAAGGGATTGAACTTTTTGGTGTACATGATTTTTATCCAATTTTAGGCTTATAAATACTCTTTTACAAATAAAAGTGTTTTTTTTTCTTTTTTGTAAATTTCACTCCAAAATCACATATATTTTTAATAATCATCCACTATTATATTTTTTTTATTATTTATTATTTAAAAAATAATAATTTACAAAGGCATGGAGTGCCTTTTGTATGTTAGTATTTCTAATTACAATTAGATAGTTAAACACTATAGTGATTGTCTCCCTACCTATATGTTTTTTTTTTGATAAGGCATTAATTGATTGTGCCTTTTCAAAATATAAAAAAATATTTAAAATATCAAATGCTTTTTTTTTAACAATGTAAAATTATTTTATTTATTTAATGAGAAATAATTAACTTACATTTACAAAAGTAGTAAGATGATTGGTACAATTTGAGTTGAAGAATAAAACATCTTAAAAAATGTAAACCAAATGGGTAATGATATCATTTTTGTTATAATTAATTATAGATTATTATTACTATTATTATTGTTGTTATTGGTGTTGTTGTAAGAACCCATTTACCTCATTATTTTAACCCTTTAAAAGAAAGTGATAAGACCAAATATCTTATGGGTAGTGCTGACCAATGTCTTTATGGCATTAGTTAAGGAATCAATATGTTGAAAATGTTCATTGAAAACAATACTAAAGTTATATAAATAACTTTCTTTTTTTGGTTCCTTAATTAGTGCCCTTAACATTTTTTATATGTTATAGACCTCATCCACCTTTTTTTTCTTCCCTAAATTGCTACCTTATTTCATTTATATACAAGCCTAAGTTTTATGAAACAATCAATACAATATCCTTTTAACATAGGTCAAAAATATAAATGAAAATTTAAACAAAGCTACATCAAAACTAAAACTACTTCTTCGAGAGGGTTTCAAGCAAACACATACAAGCCTAAGTTTTATGAAACAATCAATACAATATCCTTTTAACATAGGTCAAAAATATAAATGAAAATTTAAACAAAGCTACATCAAAACTAAAACTACTTCTTCGAGAGGGTTTCACATGTAATTTCCATGCCACTTATCCATATTTGATCTATGTCGTTGAGTGCATACAATTGTGGTGATCATTGTGGTTTAGTTACATTAGATAATGATAAAAGCTGCAGTGGTTCCCTATTGTTGTATGAAATGGACCAGATAGTTTAAGGGGAGTCTAAAAGTAAATAGTATACGGTTGCGCGCCTAAAGAATTTTGTGATATAAATACTTAAATGAATATGAAGCCCAAGTGGGAGATTGTTAGAAATTTTATTTCATTGTTGCACAATTAACTCACTTCTTTTTATAAAATATTTCTTTATTTCAGTTTTGCACATTGTTGCACAATTATCTCACTTCCGGTGAGAATATTTCTTTATTGCATTATTGCACAATTAACTCACTTCTGGTGAGAAAATATTTCTTTATTGCATTATTGCACAATTAACTCACTTCTGGTGAGAAAATATTCTTTTATTGCATTGTTGCACAATTATCTCACTTTCAGTGAGAAAATTAAAAAATTCATAAAATTTCTACATTTGACAATGTCTTCAGGATCATTGCAAAATTGTTACATATACAAATTTATAACATTCACAGAAAATTATACAATTTCACAAAAATTCTCTTTAATAAAAATTCAACTTTTAATCGATCTCTTTATCCGTATAATCAATTAAACCAAATTGAAGCAAAAAAAATTAGAAATTGACCAACGCATTCAAATACACGTATTATCAATGAAGAGAGAAAAAAAATTGTAACAATACGCTTTAGAACCCCATAACCTAATAACAACGACGACTCTGATATCACTTGTTGGGATAAATTTCTTAAGCCAAATAGAAATTTTCTATTAATCAATATTAAGAACCATTGTCTCAGATTACAGAATAAATGTAAATTATACGTATTTGTATCCATTGACGTTGATCAAAAGGTTGCAGGGGAATAGTCTTTTGGTGCAATGATCTTCCTTAGCCAAATTACTGGGTTCCTTGATGGGACTTGATGTTACTCTTTTGATGGGGAGACAGAGAGACGTGTGTTTCTGATTTGGCATATTGGGGACCATGACCATCTTTATGATTTTAAACCTATTAGGGTTTCCATTAACCCCTAACGGACCAAATATGGTTTTCACTTATTTGGGCCCATATCAGTTTTTCCTGTTGGCAGTCTAAAGGCTCACTAAAATTAGATCACTTTTATTGAGTCCAAATAAATGTAAATAACTAATATAAATACTACAAATAATATATGTAGCCCACAATAATTATTAGAAATAAAATTTCTAACATATTATCTCCCGCCATCTTTTGTTTTCTTATTAGGATATGTGTTTGCTAGCCACTGAAGAATTGTTTTATATATATATAACTTATATGTGAACATTGCTATTATAATGTGTTCAGACTTTACGCTGTATTCAGTCTAGAATATCTACGTTAGTTATTAGTTTGAACATGACAAAATTTATACATTTTGTTTCCTATATTGGCATGTTTTAAAAAAATATTTTAAGATCATTTTACATAAGTTCATAATATATATAAGAACTTACCTTATGTGAGACCCCATATCCGTTCCCTTTTCTCTTCCTCATTATCACTCTCATACTCTTTTCTCCTTCCCTTATTCACTCTCAAATTTTCTTTGTCTTCTCTTTGCCTTTGGTCTTTCTCTGGAACCATTAGGTGGTGGAGCTGAGGAGTTGTGTTAGAAGCTAGCAGAGGCGCGGGTTTTCTTTCTTCTCCGTTGATTTTCTCCGTCCGTCCTCCATCTTCTTCTCCATTCTCCGCGATCCCAAAGCTCGGATTCTTCACCGAGGTAAGGGAAGCTAGTAATTTTCTTTCTTTTGTCGCTGTTTTTGGCTATGGATGAGTTCTAGAAACTCATTAGATGCTTATTGATGGTTGATTCGTGACTGTGTTGAATGAAAACCTGTTTTTGGGGGTTTCGGGGTTTTTGGAAAAATTTGGGGAAATCCGTGATTTGTTGTTGCATGTTGAAAAAGGTAGTATTTTTGGGTTCTTGGATGGAAATGTGATGCTTTGAACCGATTGCATGTGCCTGGGAAGTTGATTTGGCAGGTTTTTGGGTGAAATTTTCGAACTGGGGAGAGTTGCTGTATGAATTTGCGTCGGGCGAAGTTCTTCGTGCCGGACGCAGTTCTTCGCGTGGTCTCAGGTGAGAATCGCGCCGGGCTCGCTCTTAAGGCGCCGGGCGCGCATTTGAATGTCATAATTTGACTTTATAGTCTTCATGAAAGTTGTAGCCTTGGATGTTAGCTTTCCAATGGCGCTGGAATCACTCAAAAAGGAGTTTTAGAACTCTAGATATGGCTGTTTTAGTGAAGAGGGGTCGAGCTGCTAGCTTTGTTTATAGTTGTTGCGGTTTTTATCATTTTTAACAAGGTAGATGAAGGAATTAGGACTTGGTGTCTTCACGAGAGTTGTAGTAAATATTTTTATCTTTCATATGAGATAAAGAGGAGTATGTTAGGAGTAGTATAACTCCTGGTGCGCTATGTTCTATGAAAGTTTCCATTTCACATTTAGTGATTTGGTTAAGTTGAAAGTTGTTTTAGGTGCTTAAGTTGATTAGTGTTGTTTGGGTGGGTAATTTGACGAGTTAGATGAGTTGTAAACAAGATGGTTGGGTCGTATTATGTGTTGAACATGTTGTACGTTGTGATGTTGTTGATCATGCTGTTTTAAGCTGTTAAGGATGAATGTTTTTTTTTAGCTGAGTGATGATATTGTTGTGCTGCGCTGAGCGCGACCCTTGTCGCGCTGGGCGTGAGACTCCTTGGGAGTCTCTGCCTTGTGGGCGCTGGGCGCAATTTGAATTGCGCTGGGCGCGAGACCAAGGGGAGGTCTCTGCCTTCCCCGTGCTGGGCGCGGGTATGGGCACGCCGGGCGCGCGAGACTCCTTAGAGTCTCTGCCTGGCATGCGCTGGGCGCGTGTGAGCCTTGGGCTCTCTGGTTGAGTCCCTCCAGGCGTAGAAATACCTGCGCTGGGCGCGCTAGCCCTTGTGCTCTCTGGTTGTACCGCGCTGGGCGCAACCATGAGTGCGCCGGGCGCGGAGATGAGAAATTTCTATATGATGGTTGATGTTGTTTTATGCTTAGTTGAGTTGAAATAGACGAATATATTTGTGTTGTGCTGCAAGTTGACATGTTGAGTTGTACAGTTGAGTTGTGTTGAAAGTTGATGTTGAGTTGTACAGTTGAGTTGTGTTGAAAGTTGATGTTGAGTTGTACAGTTGTGTTGTGTTGCAAGTTGATATGTTGAGTTGCAAAAAGTTGTGTTGTGTTGAATGTTGATATGAGTTGTTGTAGGCCATAATGGCTGAGTTGTTGTAGGCCATAATGGCTGAGTTGTTGTAGCCATAATGGCTGAGTGGTTGTAGGCCGAAAGGCTGAGTTGTTGTAGGCCATAATGGCTGAGTTGCTGTAGGAGA